TGAGCTGGTCTTTCACCCAGCAGTAATTCATCATCCGTTCTCTGACATCCTGCTGCTGTGATGAGCACAGCACAGAGATAACCAACATCCTCCCCTCGTCAGCACTAAGCTACATGCTAATGCTCCACAACCCTGTACGATGGCCAGTCACTCGCAGAGACAGCCCAGCTTTCCAGAGGAAAGAAAAAACAGCCAGAGGTCAACACAATTTTCTGTTTTGCTTGAGGAAATGTTATCCAACTAGACCGCCGTGACCTTTAATTGATGCAGGCCATGCTCTCCAAGCTGATGAAGGCCAGTTAAAGAAGAGCAGTCGGGCACAAACTGCTGAACGAAGGTGAGGAGGATTTACAGAGTGATCAATATTAGCGCTTTTTGGAGATTTATGACCGTGAATGGATGACTCTGCATCAGCTCTGTATTTGTTCAGGAGTGTCCTTCACTCTGTCTGTAGTTACTTTCATAGTACAATGATGTTACAGCACGACTCAGCAGAGTGTGTTGAACCCAAAGTCCAGGCTTAAAACCTGAAAGTTCAGAACAAAAACAGAAAGAAACTGTATTTCCAAGCACTATATGTTTTGTACAAGTAATACAAGAGTACTGTCCTTAATATTCTCCCTGACAACCTGTCATGGTAATTATTGTGGTTCCAAAGATACAGGACTATAAGAAAATCATTTAGTAATGAGAAGAAAAAACCAACAACAAAAAAAGCTTTTGACATCTTTTGAAAGACGACATCTGCAGCAGACTCCACGAGTTGATGCTCTTTCTCAGAACACAATGCTCTTTGTGATGCTAACCTAAGGCAAACTGATCATAGACTAAAACATACTGCAAGAAAAGTCTCAAAGTATATTTTACAGTAAAAATTATAATTAAATAAAATTTAAAAATAATAAATTAAAATGTTCAGCCCCCTCAGTCACGGGGCCTCACCTCCACCCCCCCCATACAGCCTCACTGGTCCGGTCACCTTTTTTCTTTTCTTTTGTAGTTTGGCTAATCCTGCGATTTATATTCTGAAATGACCTATATATCAAAACGACATGCTATATATCCTTCAGCCACAAGGGGGACACAATCTACAATCATAAAATACAACCTAAAAAGGAAGAGATTTACTGAAAAGACAGGTACACAGTCTGTCCTTAGTACAGGCTGATGCTTTAGTTGAACCTGCCAGAAATATGGAGACTTTTCCGGGATGGATGAAATTTTGCAAGGACATAGAAAACTTAATGGATTGTTTTAATGCGGTCCGTCCGACCATAGCTGCGTCAGGATTTCTCTCAGTTCTAATGATGAATTGTCTAACGATGGCTGTGAGTGTGTTGTTAATGTCTTGTACCGTGTGTGTGTGTGTGGTTGGCCCAAAAGTGAAGCAGGGATGAGCTGAGAATTGATGCCCTTAAATGAAGTGTGAACAGCCAATGAATATTTTGTTATTATGAGGCGTGTAAACACAAATAAATGTGATGGAGTGCCACTGTCTGACGGAGAAAGGCGTACAAAGATCAGATCATCACAGCAAACACCCACCAAGGACAGGCACGTTATCACTACTTTATCTACAAGTCATTCATAAAGTACACAGTACACTTCCAACACACGTGAATGAGAGCAGATGAAATGAAGTCAGGGTGAAGGTGAAGAGTTGTTGCCAAGTCAAGTTGTGGTTCAATCAAATTCATGTTAACGTACGATTTAGGTTTACGTTTTAAAAATAAAAATAAAGTCAAAATGTGAACATCCATCATAAAACATGCAGAGTGATGTAGAAAAATGTAGAAAAAAGGAACAACTACTCAACACTACTGGGGGTTTTTTTACAATGTTTTTTGGCCCGTGTATTCAGAGACTTTATAAAGTATGTTTTTTTTCTTATAAATATTTTATCTTCATCTATTTATATCCATTATGTTATTTATTTAAATTATATTCAGAATAATAAAACCTCTTTGGCTTTACGGTCCTGCTGTTATAACACCGAGCAAACAGAAAAGCTCTAAACGCAATCAGTTCAGTTCTACTTACAGTAAAAGTTGTAAAGTTTTATTATACTATTTTTTTAAATGCAAGTTTGAGATTTAAACAACCAGGTTCTTTTAGGTCTTATCCAATATATCCTGGTGTTTATTTTAAATTAAAAAAAAACCCCATAAGAACAATGTGATCATCCAATAGCCAGTAACTCTGGCTCCTACTTTTCTCTAAATAGGATCAGAATTTACAAAAGTGAAATGTTTACTTATAAAGACTGGTCTGTTAGCTTTTACGGAAGTACTATCCTTTTATCACAGTATTACAGTCATACTGAGGTTCTCACACTTACATATATATATATTTTCCAACACTGATGGCTACTGTATGAATTAAGGATTATTATGATTATTAATGACTTACCTGGGAGTAAATGTCACAAAGATTCCTAATTTAATTACCCACCGACAGCCGACAGTAAAAGTGTAAAGAGGATATAATAAAAAAAAAATAAAGAAAGCTCTATCTTCAATTTCCCACCTGTAAAGAGGATATAATAAAAAAAAAAAAAAAAGAAAGCTCTATCTTCAATTTCCCACTAAACAGGATCAGATTGCTGAAGGAGGAAGGAAGGAAGGAAGGAAGGAAGGAAGGAAGGAAGGACTACCCAGTATTTATAAAAATTACTTTGTATCTTTTGGTCTAAGCACACAGCCAAAGACTTGTGCCTTTAAGTCATCATCACCATATTTCAGGTAGAAACTGAGGTAAGGAGATGCAGAGAAGATTTCAGAATTTATATTGCCTCACTGAATTCTGCTGTTTAAATGGAGCAGGGGCGTGACGGAGGTTGGCTGCTGCTCTGCAGGTTGCTGCCTCTTTGTTGTCCTTCTTTTCGGCGGTAGTGGAAGAGGCTGGTGGTGTCGAGATCACCTGCATAGTGAATAGCTTCTGCAAACAGCTTCACCACCTGATACACACAGGGAGGGAAAAAAACATTCATTAGAGCTGGGGCAGCTGTATGTGAATGTGAAATGAGCGAATAAAAAGAGAGAATTTTCCAGCCAGTGATAGCGTGACATTTACAGACCTGGTCATTAGTGATGAGGGGGACACCGTGGTCAATTGCCATCCTGCGGATGAGGAAGTTATCCTTTAAGTGGCGAGTGTTGTTATTGGGCAAATTGACCACCAGGTCAATATGACCCTCGTTTATTAGCCTATCAAAGTGAACAAAAAGTACAATATCACTGTCAGGAAACTGGCATCTGCATTAAAGTATGCAATATCTTCAACAGAGACTGAACCGGTGATGGATGAAGCCAGTGATCTGATTATGAAGCAGTGTTGAGCTCACATACACCACTGTTCTGTGAGTGTCCTTGTCAACACAGACAAACTTCACTAACACACTGTCACCTTGTCAAACACTGAGATGAAAAGCTGCACTCAAATGACTTTGTTACTCTGCCTCCTAGTGTTCATTTGAGGAACAAGCCGCAGTTGGTCTGATTAAGGCAGTGTTTTTCAACCTTGGGGTCACAACCTCACGTGGGGTCACCTGGAATTTAAACAGGGTCATCTGAAATGTCTAGTAATTGATAAAAAAAAGAATTAGTGATAAAAAAAAATGTCATGGTTGTTTATCTTTATACAATATGTGGCTCAGTGATGGACTGGGGAACCGTCCAGGTGCCACCACAACCCTGCCCGATGACTATAGGGATTGGTTCCCTCCCAAGGCAAAATTAAAGAAACAAAAAAAATGTTCAACATCACTGTCTGTCATGTCCCAGTTCCGTTCCTCCCAACAACACACACATACAAACACACACACACACAGCAAACTCTTGTGGTTCTCTGTTCTGGTTGAAGGCCTTTTGACAGACAGCATTGAATTAGGGGTGAATTTTATCAGGAAATGTGGAGGACAAACAACAGTGACAACAAGCTGACAGAGTTCATGTTCATCTTTATAAAGGGTCGGCCTCTGTGTCATGCAGCACAGCTGATGCCATCCTGTGTGTGTGTGTGTGTGTGTGTGTGTGAGGGTGTATATTCTTTGCTTTGGGTCCAGACCACATTATTTCCCTTTACACTCTCTCCTCTCA